CAATAATTAAGAATATATGCTCATATGATATATACGGCAACCAAATAAACTTGAAAGGTCAATGAATGACATGTAGATAAATCAAATTGCAATTTTTTGTGTTACATTTGTATATACAAAGGTGTATTGAAAACTCGGCTATATCGATAAAAATAAAAGGGGAGTAAAATTAATTGATTGATTCTTTAAGTTTTGTATCAGATATTTTATACCCGAATGTAATAAAATGAACATAAATTTTTGTAATTTAGAAAAACACTTACTTTTATAACATGTTATACACGTTTTAATTGATTTTTTTATAAATAACTTTTGTATGATGAAAATATAAATATCAAATCTGATAGATACGATAGTTTTTCAACCCTTTAATTCACTCTTACAGATAAAAAGATGAATTCTTTAAAATTGCACGCAACTTGTCTGCTGTTGAGTGAAGGCGCCAGTTGGACTACAATAACCATATGATTATATGATATGATTAAATACAGACATATGAATAATTTTATAGCGGATGATCCCAATGTAATGCGTGGTCAGTTCCCACAATTTGATAAAAAATACATGTAGTCTTTTGTATAATTACATTTGACTTTTCGTCATGTAGTGTTGAAGAAAAACATATCATTTTGTCGTCTGCTGTGATCTTCTCACCTGCAATAAATTTAAAGAGAGTCGTATCATAGTTCATTGTGATTAAATATTACATGTTTCGTCACAACTTAAATAAAAGTAATACATGTATACTATATGTTCTTAATATTCGAGACCGAGAATAAATTTTCCTGGAAAATAAAGAGGACGGTTTGTTAATCTATGTCATCATAAATGTGATCTCCAAAATACACTCATTCCAAAAGAAAATGTGCTCTAGCCTTCTTGAAATTTCTGTATACTTCGAGCAAGATATTGGCAAATTTGGTATTCGCAGAAAAAATGATTTACTTTGAATTGAAAGAGAAAAAACGCATTTATTATTGTAAATAAATTTTTTTAATGTATCATTATTATTGGCGACGCCGGTGAGCGGCGTCGTCTATTATGGAACGCTTTTTATTTTTGCCTATGGAAGGAGCTGTTATTATTAGCAGTTAATTTCATGTTGTGTTAATTAGTTTTATTTTGATTCGTAAAAATCAAGTAAACAAATGTGTTGTTATATTTGTATTTAATAACTTTATGTAAAAAGCATGTGCATTGTGATATTATTTTCACGAAATTGCAGGTTAAGTTTAACAGCTTGTCCCTTAGTTTTAATGACAATACTAAAACCCGGATTTCGAATATCGTTGTGGTCTAGATTGAGGCCGTATCAGTTCATTCATTCATTTATACATTTTCAAAATTTTCCTACAAGAAGAAAGTTCACCTGCAATTGAGTATAAGGATAGGTAATGGAACTGTTGTAAACGATTATCCTATTGATTTTATCCTTATTACATTTATCTGTTGCGCAGAATGGTTGTTTTTACAAAGTGTACCAGTATCCGGATGTTGAAAGCTATCCGATTTTCTGCAATTACTGCTGACACATGGCCATCTATTTTTTTTATGAATACTTTACCATTAATTTGCATGGTTTGATAAAACTGAACCTGCAGCATTTCATAATTTTGCTGTTTAGGGTGTTCTTTTTTTGGGTTTCAGGTTTTCTTTATTGTAAGGGGAAGTAACTCATGTTTACTAAATTATTTGTTCTTTTCTGTCTATCTTAGGTATTACTTATAATACTATTTTTTGTTGTATATAATTCACCAGTTGTAAGGTCATCAAAAATCATGTTAATGTTAATGTTAGGATTTCATATTTATTTAATATAAACTGGGAATTATTAATGTTATGTGCATACATGTATATCTTAGACAGTAGTAGATCTATATTGATATGTTGAGACTTATATTTTTTCTGCATTTTAAAGAGATACAGTTATGTCATTATTATTAAAGGGATGAGACTTTCATTTAAAGTTATAAATGATAAAACATGTATTGATTGAAAATGTCCTTAAACTTGGATCAAGCAATATAATAATAAAGTCTCAAAAAAATCATATTCTGAATAGTTATTCTATTTTTTTTTTTCTAACATGTGCATAGTTTGAAAAGGACAGCTTCTGTCTTATCTATTTGTAATGAAGGGACACCGGTCTCAACCTCCAGGTCTCCTGAGTCAACCCGACAACAGACTGTACATAGAGTAGATTGTTACTTGCCCTTGAATAAATTTGTGCACTAAATTTATAGTGGGTGATTTGTGCCACATGAAAACCAACATAGTACAAAAAGTAACAAAGTGGTTTGTTTGTTGCATTTTTCATGTTTTTTGCCCGGTGCCCTTGATGCAAAATACAAATCAGCCTTCATAAAATTTCTTATGTTGGTCACAGGTTTGAGTTCTGGTCAAGCTCAAAGTTTTTCCTCATCCTGTGACTGCATATAAGCATGAGTTCAATTTCCTATGCTCTGTAACATAAGAAATTCACGAACACAAATCGATATAGTGGGGAAATATGTTGTGGTTTAGAAACTGTTTCATTTATTAAAGAGAAAATGTGTAGCAGGCCGGATAGCTCAGTTGGTCTTCTGAAAGTCATGGGTTCGAGTCATGGTCAGGCAGTTTCAGTCAGGGTTTAGAAGTGGTTTTTCAATTGACACATGTTTGATTCATTTAACAGATTGCATTATTTTGAAATGGACAAAGGGCAGTATTGTATGATACTTTTAGATCTACAAAGGGCATTTGATACAGTTGAACACACTATACTGCACATGAAGAAGTTGTTTTTCTTCTTCTTCATGAAACTTCAAGCATCTGCCATAATATAATGACATTCTTACATGGTTTTAAGTCTTATCTCTGATAGTAGCTGGTTGATGTGGCTGGTACTTATTCTACTACAGTCACTGCTCTGAGTACCTATGCTGTCCCCCTGATGTTCATTTTAGGTCCTCTTTTTATGTCTAATATATGTCAATTACATGTCTTCAACCCTAAGCAGTAAGCTTTTATTATAATGCACAGGCACGAGTATCAGACCTTGGAAGAAAAAAATATGGCCAGATTGATAAAAAAAACCTGTGTTCATCTTAAAAGTGTCAACAAACCAAAATAAAATGTAAATAATGACCCCTTTAAAAATATACTTCAAGTTGATAGTATATTTTTTAAAGGGGATTCATTATTTACATTTTTTGGGGGTTTTTTATAAACACAGTTTTTTTATCAATCTGGTCATCTGGTCATATTTTTTTTCTTCCCAGGTCCGATACTCGTGCCTGTGATTATGCTATGCTGATGACTCAGGAATCCTTGTGTCTCATAAAATAAATCTGAAGAAATTCTTTCTTATAGCATGAGTCTTGTAAGATTGCTTAATTGACTATAAATTGTCTTTGCATCTTGGCAAGACAGAGTCTATTCTTTTTTGGTTTAAGTTTCAACTTAAACTGGCCCTAGCCTCAAGGTCACATGTAATGGTACTGCTATAAAGTACACATCTTTTGTTAAGTATTTAGGTGCAAATCTGGATCAAATTCTTTTGGCGTCGCCCTTTGATGCTTTGCATCAATGATTTTCTTGTATATTATATATCAGAATAAGAGGTAAGTTCACCTGGAGTAACAAAAAAGGGGAAATAACTCAATAACACATATATGTGTCATCTGAATGAATTACTTCCATTTGTATACAACGTTGTATTTTAGAACAAGTTCACTATGTGAAGTAGAAAAATGTGCCTCCTACATGTGCACGTATATATCTTAGTCAGTGTGAAAAAAATATCTTCCTAAATTCTTAAAATCTATTATAGCTTGTTTATGATATGAAACAAAATAACGTGGTTTACTATATAGATTCTACTTATGAATAAAATATTGAGAAATATTAACGAAATAAGATGTGTATTTTCATTTTCCATATTTTCATTGTAAAAATTTATTTTTCACTGCAGTGAAGCACATTTTCCGTACTTTCACTGGTGTCTTGCCGTACTACTTTCTTCTAAATTTGGCCAGTACACATAATGTAAGAGAGGTCTTTCAAATTGTAATGTCAAAAAAGAGAAAAATGAATATAATAGATAGAGGATATTGAATGAATGTAAGTTCAATACTGAATTTATTGCACGAGTTGAATAAAATTATATTATGCGAGCCTCTGGCGAGCATAATATTATTTTATTCAACGAGTGCAATAAATTCAGTAATGAACTTACACGAATTTAATATTCTATTTATCACATACCCAAAATAAATACCGTTTAAAGTGAAATAAGAGTCAATTTTCATTGACGCGCCTATAGTATAACGCTAACATTTAGCGCGTCTTTACACTATGTTTGTATAACGCTAATGACGTCACGTCAAAATATATGCACGGCCGTGCAATACCATTTTTACGGAGTCGCAAAATCGGCACGGGTGTGTGATAAACAGAAAATTCAAGTGTTTTCTATAGATACATGATTAATTTTCATCTTGTGGTATGAAAATTACCATTACCGCCACTCATGAAATATTTATTTTTATAACACTCAATGAAAATAGATCCTGTATTTCTAGAAAACAAACTTGAATATCCTCTATGGACAAATAGTTTTAAATATTTTTGACATTTATAATAAATGAATATTCACCATTTGTGCAATGTTCTTCTTACCGCTTTTTATCAGTGTCTAAATGTAATATAATATCAGATAATCTTGAATTTTAAAATGAGAAAAGATTCACAATATATTCAAGTTTTAATCTACGTTCTTTTTCAAGGATAAGAAAGTCACACAGAACGCGCATAACAAATTATCACCTTTCATGATTTATATTGTCACCTTGGCGTTGTCACCATTTAAAATCGGCGTATATCCGGATGTATTGCAAGCTTAATGTTTGATTTTTAAAGACGCTATATTGTGTGAAATGTTTGAAATTATCAATAACTTAGCTCAATCGAATAATTATGCATAAGTAAACACCCCAAAACGCAACGCCTATATTGCTTGTATGTATTAAATATTCTAATTTAATCCGTTATGCACAGGAAATTTTACGATATCTAAATTGATACAAATCTTGCATTTAAATACTATGAATATTGAATATTAGATTCAGATGAAACTCGCAGTTAGATCGACGAATTATGAAACATATATTGACATTTCATAAAAATTTATAAAATTTTGTTTGTGATATAGTTTTTGTCAATTCTTAAATTTCGTGAAAATGTGGAAAATGCGTTATGACGATTATTCTGAACAGGGTGAAGGATTCTATAATGTGTCAGTGCTACCAGAGGACGACAAAAACAGTGAATCAACGACATATGTCGTGTCCTGGGTAGACCCTATCTTACGTCCGACATCAACAAGAGGCTATAACATAGCAGACACAGAAGTACGAATAAATGACGTGACGTTGAATGACGTCAGAGATGATGACACGGACACATACTCGTGGGTCAAGGTTGAAGACACTGCCCACCTACCGGGAGTTCAATCAGTAGCGGTTTCTGATACATACAAAGATGTTTTTCATACAACATACAAGGGTCAGAACACGAAACTTCGTGTCGATAAAGAAAACTTGACAATGGCAAATAACGATAGAAAAGAGCAAAAAAATAAAGAGATTGACACGAGTCTGATATATGGCAACCATTGTTCCATTTTTCTGGCTTTCCTTGTAAGACTTTTGCTGATTGGTCACAATGTGTTTGCAGTTTGGCGCGTGACAATAGAATATAACGACTACATGTATTGGTTACTGGCAGTCACGAATTTCTTTCTGATATTTGAGGGAGTTGTCGTCATAATAAGAAATGCTGGAAAGGAATACTCATGGTAAGATAATAAGCTACTGTAAATTTATAAATTAGTTTTCAACTTCTTCTAAATAGTGGTCGTTGTGTTATGAATTCGTTTTATTTTTTTATAGATCTATATAAATGTAGTCAACATTTTATTTTGCAGGTGGTCTCCATGCCTCCTTTTCTATCTTGCTGGAACAGTGCCTGCAGTGTGGTTCCTTCAGCTGAACCAATACCACAAGGCATCAACAACTTCACAAGCTGAGGTAAATATATAATTTTCATTTCTGTCACACATTGTTAATCGAACAGACATTAGATCTAGATACGATCTAACTTTTGTTAAAAATTAACATTAAATTATTTTATTTAAGCATGTGTTTTTGAATAATGGGCTCTGTATTTTTCAGCAAGGGAAACCAGCCATTGACATATGGGTGATACTTACAGCGGAAACTCTCGTGTTTGCCGTTCTCATCAGCCGATGGCTATTGCCACGTCATAAACTTTCAGAAAACGTCATCTCTGACGTCTTAGTAGAATTTATTTTCATAGCGTCTGACGTCATGGAGTTTCTAGCTGTCTTTGACAATGATCGGGTAAGAGGAGATTTGAACATTATCTACGTGGTTCTGGCGGTCTGGACAGCGAGTTTGGTCCAGTTTGTTCCTGTTTTCAAGCGAAAGAATCGTTACCGAAAGGGTGAGAAGGACGGCTGTGTCAGGCAATGCTGTGGAATGAATGGAGTGAAAATAATTGCTATTTGTATGAATGTTTTTCTACAAAATTTGCCTTTTCTTGTTGTACGACTCTATCTTATTATTGAGATGAGGATAATTACATACAGTCTGATATTTTTCGTGCTGAAAAATGTTGTATCCTTGCTATTTCTTTTCTGTGTAATGATTGGGATTTTCCTATGTCAGAACAAGGGTGAAAAATCGGATTAGTTCTAATTTATTGTTGATTACGTAGACTCTTGAATACATTCATTCAGCCTTGTGATGACCAAAGAATCACTTTATAATTTTACACTAGCTGTTTCAGTTTAGGTAACTAAATTGACATTTAGGACGCCTACATTTCAAATGTATATTTCCATATACAGATATCCGTGAAAATGAAATGATATGAAAATATGTGGATGAATTTAAACAAACTTGACTGTGTTTAATCCTGCTTATATAGTAAAAGCTTAATAAACGCTTCGATATATCTGTTTCTGCGTTCTGGCAGTAGGATCTCAGTGACAGGAGAGTAGACATGTATATATCGATGTTTATATGATCAATTACAAGATTTTAAGCTTTTTTTGTTTTTACTTATTTACCTCAATGCAATTCATTTCCATGGAGTATAAGTATTAGCCAAAGATATAAATTTTGAGCCAAACATCGGTCACTGTTAGTCGGCCAATGAGAACCTAAATGTTTAGTACACGGAAACCTCACGTCGTCTAACCGTACAAGCGGCTAACGCACCCTGGTATTCTTCATCGCCGTCTCTGCCTACTTTGTAGGGCTTCAGTCAGGACAGCGGCAGCTGGTCATCAGTATACAAGTTTCGGTTTTCTCTTACGCCGTCCAAAGGTTTTCAAATTATCTGCCGATGGGCTGTGCCTTCTCGGCGACCGATGGAAAGATGGGTGCAGAAGTACAGAAGTAGCGTATATATATAGCTTATAGAACCGTCACGATTATATGGAAATCATGTTACATACGTCCAGTACTATTAAAATTCAATATACATGTATGTCTATATGGACGAAGCCAACCGGTCGTCTGATGTTTCAAATTTTACTTTCTTTTTTATTATAATTTTAACCATATTGTATTTTGCTTACAGTTTCAAATATCTTTAATGCATTTATCTACGGAACAGCTTTAGGCATATTTCTAGAGTTACTGCATGATTATTATTAAAAAGCTCCGTCTTATCTGGTCTTGGTTTTTTGCATCTAGAAGTATTTTCATTGGAGTTCAAAGATGATTTATGTAAAGACCTCGAGTTATTTTTAAATAGTTGCTCCGGATATGTTACATATAAAATCAATTGTTTATTGAATAAGATCTATATATACTTTTGATGATGTGTAGATTCGGTTGACAAGAAGCGTAAATGTACAGAGATAAATGGGTTTGGGGTGGAAGACATTGGACAACAATATATATCACACACCCGTGCCGATTTTGCGACTCCGTAAATATGGTATTGCACGGCCGTGCATATATTTTGACGTGACGTCATTAGCGTTATACAAACATAGTGTAAAGACGCGCTAAATGATGGCATTATTCTATAGGCGCGTCAATGAAAAATGACTCTTATTTCACTTTAAACGGTCTTTATTTTGGGTGTGTGATAAATAGAATATTAAATTCGTGTAAGTTCATTACTGAATTTATTGCACTCGTTGAATAAAATAATATTATGCTCGCCAGAGGCTCGCATAATATAATTTTATTCAACTCGTGCAATAAATTCAGTATTGAACTTTCACTCATTCAATATCCTCTATTTATCACACACCCGTGCCGATTTTGCGACTCCGTAAATATGGTATTGCACGACCGTGCATATATTTTGACGTGACGTCATTAGCGTTATACAAACATAGTGTAAAGACGCGCTAAATGTTAGCGTTATACTATAGGCGCGTCAATGAAAAATGACTCTTATTTCACTTTAAACGGTCTTTATTTTGGGTATGTGATAAATAGAATATTAAATTCGTGTAAGTTCATTACTGAATTTATTGCACTCGTTGAATAAAATAATATTATGCTCGCCAGAGGCTCGCATAATATAATTTTATACAACTCGTGCAATAAATTCAGTATTGAACTTACACTCATTCAATATCCTCTATATATCACGACATTGCAACATTATTACATTTCAAGTACTGGGCATGACAAATTTTCAAACTCAAACATATTAAAATGAGATTATACACATTAATTACCGTTTTACAAATGCAAACTTAGAAAGTTGATGTATAAACATTGTTAAAATTACGAAATTTAGAAAAAACATTTATAAAAATGAGATTCTCAGCAGGTTATCTAGCAGCAGAAGCAGGTAGATGCCATAAGCCACATAAAATATCATTTGCCTCACGAAAATGTAGACTATGTAACACTCTGGAGAATGAATTTCATTTCTTAATCGAATGTCCATTAGACTAATGCATATGAAAAAAAATACTTTGGGAGGAGAGGTAATGTACTAAAATTAAGAGAATTATTTAAATCTGTATAAAATATGTGTGGATAGTTACAAATTTTTAAAAGAAATAGTGTTCTGTACCAACGATAACATTGTCTTCTCACTGCAACATGCATATTATAATTATGAATTTATGAATGTTGTTATGAATTAGAATTGACTTTGTTTATCATGCTTGTATCATGCTATTGATAACTTGTTTATTACTGTGCTTACTGCCTTTGTATAAATAAATTATATTATATGTATACATGTAAAGTATGAAATAAATAGGAATACCCTCAACGCATTTCTTTCTCCTACCTAACACTTGCAAAGTCCTAATAAGTTCTACTTAAGAGTTATATGAACTTCTATAAGTAGGTTATTTTTAAATCTTCTATCTTAAAAATCTTCTAAATTCTTTTTATAAAAACATTATGAACGCTTCTGAAATTAAGTGACCAATGGCACAATATTGTTTAGCATCGGGAAACAACGCGAACCAAACAACAATCCGAGCTTAATTACGGTTCTACAAGTTCCCTGTACCTTTGACTTGCTATGTTTAGGTATGCAAAGATTTCAGATGTTGGAAACTATTTATGATGTCTGATTTAGACGAAGAGGCCACATATTTTTTGTGTCGTGTTTTCGAAGAGAAATGATTATATCCTCCTCTCCATTCCAATCGACTACCAAATAGTCAGTTTTTGTAAATCGCAATATATGCTAATATTTCGCAGTATCAAACTGTTTACTAATAGGCAATAAAAATGTGTAAGTGACCCGGCAACTTAGTCGGGAGAGCTAAAAAACGACATCCCGAAAGTCCTGGGTTCAAGTTTCGACCAGTTTTCTCACCCTGTTTTACACTAATTATACAAATCATTAAACTATGTTTTTGAAAAAGAAATGAAACATGTACTTCTTTGTTTTCAAGGTGTGTATACGGTTGTATAATGGGAATCAGGTTCGATTTACATCCAAAATATATGTCACTTGGATTGCTGAATAAGTAACTTTGAATAAACAATCATGACGTCAAATCATTGGATATATCTTACTGTAAGTTGATTTAAGTTTCTATAATAAAACAAAACTTTCATACTTTTCCACAATAAGTTATTGTCATGATCTATCTAATCCCTCAATACGTGGTTTGACACAGTACATGGATGATTTGTTTGTTTGTTTAATTGGGTTTTACGTCACACCGACACATTATAGGTCATATGGCGATGTAAAGGAAGACCGTGCATTATTTCAGGCACCTAAGTAGTACATGTACCACCGACGTATGATAGCTTCCTCACATGAAAGAATACAAAGTCCCTGTGGGGATTCGAACCCACAGCGGTGAGGGGCAAGTGGTTTTTGCCACGGACGCCCCTCACATGGATGAGTTACTTTTTGAGAACGGTCAAAATATTTAATAGTTTGTCTCTTTTGTAAAGGTTATATTTGAAAATTGTCAAAACTAATACAGCATTTTCATTCAAGATGAAATCCGCTGTATTACATAAAAAGACATTTGATTAAGATAGAGATAGAAGTAGTTTCCATTGAGGATTATTTGAATAGTGCATTGAGCTTATGTCAACAACATCCGGTAACGATTGTCTTCACTTTTAAATACGAACTCATGAACCTTAACTTAAGATTAATTAATATAATAAACATTTTTTTTATTGAATGAATGCAATTGCGTTGTTAGATGTATTCATTTTCAAACATTTGTGGCATTATCAAATAAATCCCAACATTTAAGTGGATGGTAAGATTTGAGAAGAAGAGGCGTATTTGAACCTCTAGAATACATTGAGAGCTCTATTTGTCTAGTTATTTTATGAAGAAGGGGTGTCTTAGTTTAAATATCAAGAAATATTTTCAGCAAACAAGAATCTGCATTTATTACCGACTTAATCATACAGATCATACAGATTAATATTAAGATATTTTATACCAAAAGAAACCTTTTAAATCACGTAGGACTTGTGTTTGAATGTCTAATTTCTGTTTGTTTGCGGACATAGTGTAGACATATTGGAATGGATTTAAAAAAGAATATAGATTCCACGAGTAACGAAAACAAAAAAGTGAAAAATGGATTTAAATGGAGTACAATTATCGCGGCATTGAGCGTGCGGTGTCTTCTGGTGCTGCACAACATTCTCGCGGTCTGGAGAGTTGTAATATCACATGATAACGCGAGTTTCTGGGGTCTGGCATCTCTAAACATACTGATTCTAATTGAAACATATCTCGTCATTCGACGAAACTATGGGAATGAATGGAAATGGTAAAGTTTCATTCTTATTCATAATCATTTACTATTAAAATAATGGCCGGCTTGTGTTTGAAATATGTTCTGGTTATTATCTAAACAAATTATCTAATGACAAGTAAATCAAGTAAAAGTTAATCAAGTTAATAGTTACGCTCGAATTTCAGAAAATTAAAAATACACATCGTAAAATTAAGTTATAGTATTTTCATATATTCATCTACGTATTTTTGTTTTTCTTTTGTTTGTGTTTGTTTGTTTCTCTTGTTTGTTTGTTTGTTTGTTTGTTTGTTTCTTTCTTTCTTTGTTCTGAATAAAATACAATTTTAAGATACATACTATCTGTATCAAGTTAAATACAAAATCAACATGTTTCTAACGATGAAGTGTTATCGCCAGGTGGTGTCCGTGTTTCTTGACGTATCTGTTAGCAACATTACCGTCTGTATGGCTACTTCAGCTCAGCTTGTATGACAGCCTTGTCTCTACAAATACAGACACTAATAGTGTTCAGCCTACACCACAGGGTCAGATAGCGACAACATCACCCATATCCGCGTCTTCTGAAATAGGCAACTTTACCAACACAACGTCATCTGTGTCGACAACCATGGTAACAACTACCAATGAGAGAATAGCGGTAAGTTGAAATTACTAGATCTTATTAAATAATTTATTTATCAGTTCAATAGTTTCTAACTGTAAATAAAAATGGAAGGAAAGATTAAAATAACAAGAAGAGAATCATGTTAGGTATTAGGGTCCAACAACATAACTTATTTTATTGATGACATAAAATACTTTTAGTCTGCGACAAAACGCATCGGTGTAAGAGGTGTTGCATTGCATTTTCATTAACGTGGATTTTTCAGTATATCCATTTTTGTTATCTATAAAACTAGAAAACAAGTTCGTTTTGCAGACATTTGGTAACTTTATATTCTAAAGTTTTGTATCATCTTATTTAAATTATTCAGTTGATTAAGTTGATTGGGATATTGTTTTGGTGTCTGATTTTTGGCACAATTATTAGTTAGCTTTCCCTACGGCATTGACTGAAGCGTACCCGTCCTGTCACAGTAATGAATATATACTTGAACGGACGTAAAGGGAATTCCGCATCGTACTTTGATTTCACAACTGCGCAGATCTAAACATACAATTGTCAAGGGGTCCTCTCAATGTATGCAGTGCACAGCTGATCATTCTTTTGCTTTTTATACGTGCGTATTTAAATAGCGTAAAACCTCGTGATAATATCGGATAGACTGATTGCTTAACATAAAATGTTCAGTCGTTGACCCAACTGCAATGACGCCAATACTGAATCAAAACAATAAACAACCAACTGCCTATTCTCCAAAGTTCATGAAAGGACAGCGATTTTATGTCTTGATTCCAATTACAAGTACTTCTATGCTAAATTGATTTGTTTATTTTATTTTTTATAAATTTATACTATCATGGAAGTAAAAGAAAATTTCTAATATAAGCTGAAGTTGCTTTTGTTATAAACAAAATATTGGTGTACAAGTATACTTAGATTGTACGTTTTAGGTTAGTATGTTTAGATCTACAAATATTTACATCTCATAAACAGTCAAATACTTCGACGGGGTGTCTGTAAGGTCACTATTTAAATATCATATAATTTCTATTTTACAGTCAAGTATTGATGAAATTCTTGCACTAGAAGATACCACATGGATAGTTGTCATTCAGGAGTCACTGGTGTACCTGCTTGTGTTTGGACGCTGGATCTTACCGCGTTCAGAAGTGTCACGTGCAGCACTGTCTGACCTCCTATTAGAGTATCTAGCTATAGCTTCTGACATTATGGAGTTGTATGCCATATTCGACGAGGATGTTGTACAAAGCAATTTCGGAGCTACTTACGCTATTCTCACCATTTGGTCAATCAGCTTTTTGCAATTTGTACCTGTCCTAGTATTCAAACAAAAATACCGCCATTTACAAAGTCCCCGGATGAGCAAAATAAATCGCGCATGCGGAGAGTACTTCGCAGAGGTTGTTGTAACTTTAACAAGCATTTTACTGCAGGATGGACCTTTTCTCTGTCTAAGACTTTACATCATGTTAAGGTTCGAGCTGATCACATATAGCTTGGTGTTTTTCGTACTGAAGAACATTGTGGCGGTTCTTCTGTTGATATATCGTCTGGTAATTCTTTGTATCCGACTACCATGCTGTTACCATGACAACGGAGAAGTTGTAGATGTTGAAAGTGTCGATTTTTCGCGTCCAGTGGTTCTACAAGTTAAAGCAGATATGTTTCGTAGGTTGGAATATTATAAAACGTACAATTAAAGATAAATGCGATGTACATTTATGCAATTATAAAGTCAAACCAACATAATTATAATTAGCGCTGGACACGTCTTTAAAATATCATTATCATCGCTTTTATAACAGTCACCATCGTCATGTGGAGTTAAATTGCCACGATGTTAGAATCACTAATTTACAGCATACAGTATTAAATTCTACAAATACTCCTTTTTAATTTTATTTAGTTTTTAGTTTCAAATCAATTCAATTCATGATTTTGTAAAGGCATGTAGGTTCATGTAAATGTATGGCTATATATCAATATACATTGCATATTATAAACAAATGAGAACACTAAGAAACAAGAATAAGTTGAAGAAAAGAAAAATGAGTTTAAGAACAGTTTTTGTTTTTTAGTGAAGTAACCGTTTATATGGGGCTATATAACCTGTCAAAAAAATCTCTATAACTTATAAAATACACATTATTCTCTTTAACTATGTATACATTATTGCTAATTTTTTAATTGATATGCTAGACTCGGTCAATCGTAGTTTCCGCCAGAACAAGATAGACTATTCGTTCGAATTCGAGTAACAAGTTTGCCTACTTTCTATGTTGACGACATGTAGCTGTAAAATGTAAATACAGGTCTGTATTTAAAAAATATATCATGCGCCGCCCGGGAATCGAACCCGGGTCGCAAGAATGGGAATCTTGCATGATACCACTACACCAGCGGCGCTCTCGTTCAAACATACCACAATATATAATCTAAACCGTTAGTATCTTAAATATTTCAGCAATGTTAAAGACACTAGCATTAGTGCACTAGCCTGATCCACACAATTTTTTTGTTTTGTAATAAAATGTGTAGCTATTTGTTGTTATTTTAAAGCACACACATTTAAATGGATTGAGGCCCTAGCTGCAAACATCCTAAGCCTCCCCCTCCCGAATGATTTAGGGTATAATTTTGACTGAAATTGTGCATGTGTTGTGGAAAGGCGAGATATGTAACTTCTTTTGTTTGAAGCACGAATTAGAAGGAATTATTTTCCATATATTAAGTAAAGTGTGACATGAGTGCACGGTATTTTCGTGCAGTATTTCAGCCTGCGGAAGTTCATTCAGTTTTGGGTAACTGTCCGGTTCACATCGTTAATTAAAAAAAAGTAGAAAGTAAATAATTATGAATAAAGTATGTTTCATTAATGGGTAGTGTGTGAACAGGTATGCATTTGTAAATTTGTAAATTGGCGTCGAAGTGTTTTCTTTAAAGTAGTAGAAAAATAATATTGTGTGATATAAAATATGATGAAATATTGTATGCATTGTTGTACCATCGGCTACCCAAGTGATTCAAATACAATTGAAGTTAGACTGAGATGTGTTTTATTCGTTTAATATGACTTAGTAGATAACCAAACACATGGGATATACATTGGAGTAACTCTTGAGTTTAGTGCTTTACTATATGAAAATGTACATGTTTTATTTGTTAGTACTAGTTAATATACATTTGAACATACCATTTTCTAATATTCAAACTAACGAACTTTTTTGTTCATAAAAGTTTTCAGTTTCAGTTTTTATTAAACCAAGGCATATAATATGCAACTGGTTATAACAAACAAACAGAAAAATAACAGTCAAAAATCACTAATATCATAATAAAAAATACAATTATGACTAGCTAAATAAACACAAAAAGGAGATCATATTGTTCATTTCAAGTACTGAATTCAATACAACATGTATTTTACATTGTAACAAAATTAATGGGAACGGACAATGAGAAGTATTAATTATCTAAATTTTAGCATAATGTTTTTTACAAAATAATGATAGTTTTAGTAGAATCTTTTTATCACAACTATTCATTGATCTGTCAAGTTAAAAAATATTGGGATGAATATAAAAACTGGTAAAGAGATTTACGTCTTATGTCATTAGAGAGATATAAAATTTTCGTTAAAACGACATGTTGGGGGCCTCACATTATTTGATGTTGTATAGGGTTAACAGTTAGTTTCGGTTCATTTACAGTTATACAGTATTGCCCTTGGAACTTCACTTTCATCATTAATCCAATACAAATTCGTTTAATACTAAAAATATGTACTTGCATCTAAGCCTTAAAATTTTGATATGCGGCAAAACCCCGTCAGGGGCCAGCCGTTGTTTCCTTGAGAAAGAAACTTTACACTCATTGCTCAGTACTGGTTGGTTCCAGGAACAGATTCGAAAGTGTGTCTATAAGCTAATAGCTTCCTACACAATCGAACTAAAATAAATTCTGTATAAACCAAAAATGTAAAAATACGATATTTTACTATGAATATATCTAAATTAAAATCCTGTTTATATATTATTACAAGGTAAATAGTTTCGTGTTTTTTTTTTTTTTTTTATCTTTTTTTTTCTTTTTCTTTTTTTTTTTTTGGGGGGGGGGGGTAATATTTTCGAAATGCATTGACTTGTATGTACTGTCGTACTGTCACCACCGTACTGTCGCGCTGGCCATAAGGAACACCGTAGTTAACTGTATTTGTCACTGTTTTGAAATTAGGGGGTGAAAAAAACATGCTTCTCAACCTTATAATAGTGTTAACGTCATTGTTATAGTTATTTATAAACAAACGTATTAAACGACAGAAAAATATTGGACAAAAACATGCCTTTTGCTGTCCAAGATGACGATGCTTGTGAGCTGCAGCCGTAATATAGTTCAAGGAAATATAACAAAAATTATCAATAAACTTTATGGTTTTCCCCCTTAAATGCTCTATCATTTCAAAAACTCAGTTATAAGTTATATTTTACACTTTTTACATTAGTTTAAGATCTAAAGTTGTTACAAGATGTCGCCGATACAGCAAAACCCTGACGTCAATGACGTCAACGTAGTACGATGCGCAGTCTTTTTTGCGCATCGCTTATACTGATGACGTCATAACGTCTTATAAACGTCTTTATTGTCTAAGCAACAGCTATCGTTTACATAAGGAAATTCCATTATTTTTAATCAAACGAAGAAAATGTAGATTACTGGTGACACACGGAATATGCGGAGGGCGGGGTCAGATGAGTATTTGGATGTTCAACAAAAAATTCCTTCAGTGAAACATGATGTGTTGTTTTCTAAGGCCAGATACGTTCTAAACCAGAGACATATCAAGCGACCCTGGTTTAACCTCAACCCTTTCTTGGAGAAGACAGATGAAAATATCGACCTTGAGAATTTTCTGCCGGAAGAAAGCAAATATATTCAGCCACTCGAGTCTCTGGTTTTATGTGAAAGTTTTCACAATGACAATTCTCTAGATACAAAGGAAATATCCATCGGTAAGATGTTTAAAAAAAAATTAATTTAGAATTTACATCGATAATAACGGTACAATTATTAATTTACTCTTTGATATTTATACTTAAATACAGACATGTGAAATGGTATTATTTCTATCTTCCAGCATATTTTATCCAGTATTGTTGTCACATGAGATAACATATGACACCAGGCAGTAGAGCTCGAACCCACTTCTGTATTGACATGTAAATCATACCACGAGATCACCACATCCGCTATTAATAGTAATTTTTGTATTTGAATCCAATTTTTTGTTATTTTGTTCTTCCAGAAAATTTCTTTGAATACTTGTTTTCGCATGAGTGGCAGAAGGGGTGTTCAATTCGTATTCTAGAAGGTCAACTCCTAGACCAGCTTCTCATTGGACTTTATAGGCTAGAGAATGAAGGGGTCGCAGTGCGTCATACAACCTATGCGTTTGCTAGGAACAATCGACCTAGAACTGGATGCTACAAATTAGGTGAAGGGGTATGGAAATTTATTTTGTATAGGAAATTATATTCTTGTTTACTTTATGTTGTTTAGTATGAGACTTCAAACAACCAGTTTATTTTCGTAGTTTAAATCGAAGAGCTTTAATTACAGTCACCTCCCTTGCTACTTAAGAACTTTATACTACCATCCGTAATCATTCTAGAACAATTATGTTTGTTCAAAACGGACTTGCAAACCAGAGAGTTGTTAAGGAGCCGGAAATTGTGCAAAATAGATACATGTCATTAAATTCATGTAAAATAATTGATTCTATATTACAAGCTATTTATAAGCAACACACATGTAAGGTTTTTTATGCTGAGAATAGAAATTCATTTACTTTTGCCTTTATCTTTCCACAGATAAAGGATATCAACACTCAACATGATAAAATGCCACATAGTTTCACTCGCCGTCCCGGCTCGTGAAAATATGTCGCATTTTATCATGTTTCGTGAAAATATATTCCATATTTCACTCAAACGAAAACATATCCTCTTACTATTTATCACATATATAAAATAAGAACAGTAAACTGTTAAAATGAGTGATTTTTCATTGACGCGCCTCTAGTAGAACGCAAACAACGCTACTGGGATCCTACATATTACCGGACAAAATATGATGTTTTTTCGCTGTAACTTTTATTTGAAATAGTAAAAAAAGAATGGAATTTTACCCAAATAATTTTGAGTTCTTAATACATAGAGGATATTTATTTTTTTGTGTGTAAGATGAAATTTTATTTCATCGAGTGGGCTTTAAAAACAGTATTCTCACGAGTGGTGTAAAACATTATAAAAGTAAACATTACTTTAACAAACATGACATTAAACATTTGACCGTAGAAATGTGTCTTTAAAGTAGGGCATTATAAGACAGAAAATCGTGTAGACAGCTCAATTTACCGGACATAGCATTTCGATTTTTTTTTGAAATCGTGAATTGAAATTAATCTTTAAATTTCAATTCAATTCAAATTTTATTGCATTTTTCGACAAAACTTTGCCTTTGGCAATACATACAAAACATACATAAATCACTTGAAATATGACATACATTCAATACAAATACACAATGTTCACATAAAGTGCAGAAACATATCAAATTTACAATTCTTGCATTGTTTCTAAAACACTAGATCTTAATGCGAATGCTTTATCTAAAAATTTACATAGTTGCAATATTCTACTTTTATTTCCTGATGACATAATAGAATAGAACTTATTTAAAGTTGGAAAAGATACATGTTTTATAAAAGATTTTCTCAGTTCTGAATATAAGGGACAACCTCGAAACAAAACTGTGTTTTATATTTCTTATAGTAGTCAAGCTTTGGCATATTATCTATACAGTCATGCCACTGTTGTAAAAATTGATCTCTTATTCTCTGCTTAAATAACATATTATAATTGACATTAACTGCATAGTCATAAATAATGTACGGGAAGCCCATATCAGTAATAACAGAGTGAACGCGTTTAGCCCAGCATTTTTCATTCCCATTAATACATTGGTCTAAATAAATATGGTATATAGGCGCCTGCTGGCGCTTAACGATTTTATTCCAAAATTGTAAAGCTCTTTCCTTACATAGAACAGACAAAGGAAATTTACCTAGTTCCCCATAGATAGCACAATTTGGGGTCTGTCTTTTGACACCTAAAACATATTTATAAAATCTTATCTGTAGTTTATCAATATCTTTCAGCTTATATATACCCCAAACCTCTGACCCGTATAATAAGATTGGAGCTACCATTCTTTCAAATAAGTATAATTTTGTTTTAACATCGAATTTAACTCTATCAAAGAGTGCGAGAAGATTGTGGTAAGCTCTTAAACCTTGATCTGATAGTGCTTTCACAGCTTCAACAAAGCTACCTGTGTAAGAAAATTTCACTCCTAAATATGTAAAACTATCTACTTTTTCAACCAATTGACCATTTATAAATAAATTAAAATTATGGACTGACTTACGTTTTTCAAATACACATATTTTAGTTTTATTAACATTTATCTTCAAACCCCAATTACATGAATATTCAAAAACATTATCAACTTGTGCCTGCAAGCTTGCAGGGTCAGTTGTAAACAACACAATATCATCCGCAAAAAGTAACAAATATTTAGATAAAAGGTTTAGGTCGTTGTTAGACATTTTGTTAAGATCTATACACTGATCAATATCATTAAGGAATAAAATAAAAAGCAAGGGAGATAATGGCTCGCCTTGTTTTAAGCCTAGAGTTACCTCAAAAAAATCAGAAAAATTTGATTTAGAATCAATTTTGACACAAGATAATACAGAAGAGTAAATGGATTTTAACATAGTAACCATTTTACAGCTAACGCCATTTTCAATCAATTTAATCCACAATGCATCTCTTATTACAGTATCAAACGCTTTTTCATAATCTATGAAAATACAATATAGTTTTGATTTGTTGTCAAGTATCTTCTGGATAAGGGAATGTAGAATAAAAATAGCGTCAGCTGTAGATCTAGAATCTCTAAAACCAAACTGTACATCGTTAAAAATTTGTTCTGATTCACACCATTTATTTAACCTATTACGTAGTACTAGGGAAAATATTTTTGCCATACAATTTACTAACGTGATGCCACGGTAATTTGAAGGATTTTCGGGATCACCTTTCTTATAAATAGGTACAATTACCCCTTTACACCATGCTTCTGGGTAAATGCCAGTCTCAAAGATTTTATTGAAAATAGTACACAAATATGGGCTTATAAATATATTAGCATCAATGAAAAAGTCAGCAACAATATTTAAATAATCAGCACTCTTATTTCTATTCAACGAAGATATAGTTTTCGACACTTCCTCCACACTGATCGGACAATCTAACTGGTCAATATATAACGGTGCATCACGTGACTGAATAAAATCGTCTGCATTAAAATTACTGTGCTGCAAATTAGAAATATTTGAAAAATGGTTAACAAAACTATCTGAATCTAAGTTGTTTCTATCCGACGGGCTACGTTTGAATTTATTTATGTATTTCCAAAACTTACGCGGTGAGGTTTTTGACATTTGTGACATATTAATTTTTTCTTTAGAGTAAAATATCGCTTTTGCTCGTCTCTTAACCTTTATATATTCCCGTCTACTTGACAAGAATAACAACTTATTATCATTACACTTATTTACATTAAAGGCTCTTTTTTTATTCAAAAAATCTGCTTTAGCATTTCTGCAATTCACATTAAACCAGGCAGCTTTTTTAACCTTTTTACAAGGCTTTTGACAAAATGTTTTCCCAAAGCACTTAAAAGAGATTTCAAAAATTTCGTCGGACAAAGAATTTACACAATTATCAACATCAGTTTCGCCCAACACAAGTTTCTGTGACAAATTGTCAAATATATGCCTTTTTGCCTCCAATAGATTTAAAAAAGATTCTGTTTCATCGCTGTTCCATATAATTTTTTGTTGTTTTTCAGGTCTGGTATAATTAATATTTAAATCATTTTTGTAGCTTATTGAAAAAGAAATTGGGCAGTGATCAGAAAACTCAGTCATGTCCATAACACATACGTCATTTAAAGATGAAAAATTCTCAAACTTTGTTATTAAATAGTCTACTGTACTCTGTGTCGATCTGTTTCTATATTTAGAATGAAAAGTACAATCGCCGGGTTCTAGCCGGCCATTAACAATACGTAGGTTATTTTCTTTACACATTGACAATAATTTGTTTCCAAAAGAGTTCACATGAGTGTCCGTATTTTTACGTGTTGTGGTGCTTTCTTCCACTTCCGGTGGGAGAACTACATACCGGTCCAAGTTAATATTGTCTACGTAATCGGGTTTTTCACCCGTCCTCGCATTATAATCTCCCGTACAATAAACATGCCCTAGGTCACTATATTTACGGATTTCTTCATTGAGGTTATCAAAAAAATCATATTCAAATAAGGTTGAGTTAACATTTTTATAAACATATGAGTCTTCCGGTGGTATATAGCAAGTACTAATATAAATGTCTTTATCAGATCCAAAACATTCTTTTTTAAGCTTAAGCCAAATTATTCCTTTGTTATTAATGCTCACTATTTCTAATTTATTAATAAATTTTTCCTTATAATATATAACTATGCCACCGCTATTCCGTTTTGCTTTCGATTTACTATTTGGTCTTGGGCAGTTTGCATACTCAAACCCATTAATTTTTAAATTCGAAAATTTAGATGTCCATGCTTCCGTCAGAAGTAGTAAATCATAACCAGAAATAAAGTTTAAAAAATCACTATCATTCAGTTTAGAATTCAAGCCTTGTATATTCCAAGAGAGTACATTTAGGTATTCCCATGAGGGTTCCTAATGTATATTGCCGGGGGCAGCAGTTTCCATTCGTGTCGGGTTACTATTAGTTCCAGTACCGGGTAAAGATGTAAGGTTCTCAATCTCTGGTATAGGAAGCGCGTCAACCGTGTACATTTTATTGTTAACGTATAGCTTATCAACATGTAGACTAGCACGTATGCCTGCTTCACGCGCTTTCTTAAGGGACGGATATAGTAATCTACGACGCTGTTGCACAATAACCGGATATTGGTCACTAACACTGCGATTGGACAAATCACTGTTGTCAAAGACTCTCTGTTTTATATTTATCTTATCTTTGAAATAGTTGAATTTTACGACAATGGGTCGTCTTTTATTAACTTTGTATTGCCCAATTCGGTGCGCTCTATCAATTTTAATAGATTCATCCGCGTCATTCATATTGAGTGTTTCTTTACAAAATTTAAGGATTTTTGCTTCACAATTTTCCTCCTTGCGCTCTGTAGCGGTTTCACACTCGGCAAAGTCGTAGAAAAGTAGATTATCCCGCATTGATCTTGTTTGAATATCAATCAAATCTTCCGATACCCGGTTATGATCACAGATCAAAGACTCGTAATCCTTGCGGATTGCCTGGTGACTCTTTTTGTTTTGGTCTAACTGTTTATCAATTGAAAGCTGTTTTGCTTGAATTTCGTCACATGAACTAGAGTCGTACGCTCTACTGGCCTCAATTTCGGTGATTTGACTTTGACAACTGTTCACTTTTGTTTCGAGAAAAGTCACTTTAGTGTCAATGGAGGTCATTTTCTGTGTCAAATTAGATATTTGCTTCTCAATATTGTCTAGCTTTTGAAGTTTCGTATCAAAAATTTCAAATTTTGAGTCAATTTTATTTTCAAGTTTTTCAAATAAAAGTTGAATGTCTACGCTGCCAATGCCAGGTGATATAATCAGCTAGGAAACTACGACTATTGAATGGCAAACGACAGACATGCCTGTTATGAAGAGGCCAATATATAGGGTGTAATTGAAATTAACACGTTTAACTCAATTAACGTATTGATTCTTCATGATCCTTAAACGTATGAAACAGTTTGATATTCAAATGGAATTCTATTCTTTGTCATTCAATGTCCTTTTGGTCATCATGTAGCATGTTGCAAAAGCCAAAAAATCTGTTTTATTTACATTTCATGTAGAATTTCCTCCCATGGTCTTACGATTTCCTTATATGTCTTAATTTGCATTTCTTTGTAGAAGACAACGATGAGATACTGTTTGAACTAAATTTAAAATTACTTTTTATCATAAAAAAATTGTTACGATTGTCTCCTGAGATAACGTTGAGAAGAATTTAAAGTGTAACCCATCAATATTCGGCATGCGCAGAACAGAATATCCCCCCGCATGACCAGATCATGAAATAACTCGTAAACAAAAGGGTATGTTTGTAAATAAAGAACTGAATCAACAACATTTACATGAGAGTGTTTTTGTTGTTATTTACTTTGAAACAGAAAGTGTGTGTACGATTCAGACCGGATGATTTTTACGTCACGTCAAAGTGTTATAACACTAGTGTTATATCGTTTTTATGTGATAAATGTTTATTTCATGCTTTCCAGTGTTTAATTGTAATATATCAGATGATTATATTCTGATAAACCACTAGTGAAATTTATAAAATATAATTTTCACTGTAACCGGACTTTACCTATAATAATAATAATAATAATATCTTTATTTAAAGAAGGTTACACATTAAGAACATACAATAACAATCATATATATCTTATTTCCAAAGTGGCCTTCTGAAAAAGAAAACAACAACAACAACAACAACAACAACAACAACAACAACAACAGGACATTCATAGGTAGAAAATGAATGTATAATATGTAATTTTTAGAATAATACAACTCATATACTTTCGATAGGCACTCAACAATTTTTGTTTAAACATATATGTATATTGCATCATTTGTTCGTTCGTTCATTCGTTCGTTCATATATTTATTCATTCATTCATTCGATCACTCATTCATTCATATGAACATCAAGATATGCTTTGTATTTTTCTTTAAAACATTTAAGGTTATTAACATTACGAATATTTAAAGGTATATTGTTCCAAATGTTCATGCCATAATAAGAAAATGTGTCTTTAATATAATTTGTTTTAGGTCTTGTCCATAATACAATATCTTTCCGTGACCTAGATCTTAAGTTATATATTTTGTTGTCGGATAAAGTCATCAGTTCTGTCATATACGTCGGTGCCATGTTATTTAAAGTTTTAAAAACAAGCACCGCCGTGTGGTATTTGCATCTGTCAAGGAACGGTAACCAATTAAGAGTTTCGAATAGATTTGTTGACGGAGATCTTTGAGGTTGCTGTAAAATGATTTTAGCAATTCGTTTTTGTAACTTACAAACATTATTTATGTAGTTTGTGTTTCCTTTACCCCATATAATACAACAATAGTCCATAATGGGCAATATATATGCATTGTAAAACAATAATTTCATATCAAAGTGCAAAAAATACGATATTTTTTTCAATAAGGCAATTTTTCCGTTAAGTTTTTTACAAACATTGTCAATTTGCAAGTGCCAATTTAAGTTGTTATCTATGCAAATACCCAAGACTTTTAGATCAGTTACATTTTCAAGAGCTATTTCATTTATCTTAAGAATTAATTTTCTCATAATATTTACTTTTTGTCTTGTTCCTATTACCATACATTTTGATTTATCTGGATTTAAGGCCATATTATTTATTTTGCACCATTTATTATTATCTGAATGCGGATGAAAAGAAAATCAAACTAAATGGAATAACAAGCAGAAAAAAATGCCGCCATACGTAAATTTTGCTTCTATAGGAAAATAAAGTCGATGTCACCATACATCATGTTAAAAATGTAACAAAATTAGAGAAATTTAACAGAACTATATTTCAAAATTGATGATGTGACGTCATGATGTGATGACGTCACAAAGGAGAATGCGCGACGTTTTATAGCGGCAAAATCTATAAAAAAAACTTAAAATCACTTAAAAAGCATAAAATAAAAAGAAAATTTATTTGTTTTACAATAAGATTGAAATATATTTCATTTGTGAACACCAGCTATTATATTTTCACTCGTGGCTACGCCACTCGTGAAAATATTGCATCTGGTGTTCAATCAGTGAAATTCAATCTTACATGCAAAACAAACAAATATCCTCTATGTCTTTTGACGTCTTATTTGTGATATGCAGGCTTCATAACCCCTGATCCTCTGCATTTAATTACGCCCATTGTTTTCTCGTTTATGCGGAAACTCGTTAATGCGGCACACACTCTTTTTTCTTAATGAATGGTATGAAAGTGTGCATTTGAAGGTTCTATGATAACCGCCGCAGATGTTTCTAATTTCTATGCTAAAACCGTGCTAGGTGTGTGTACGGCAGCGTTCATTTTCCAGCACCAGGCATGAACAGGAGCCTGCAACATTTGAGCCGCGTCACGACAAAACCAACATAATGGGTTTGCGAACAGCATGGATCCAGACCAGCCTGCGCACCCGCGCAGTCTGATCTGGATCCATGCTGTTCGCTTATAAACCCTATAACAAGTAGAGAAACCGATAGCGAACAGCATGGATCCTGATCAGACTGCATGGAGGCGCAGGCTGGTCTGGATCCATGCTGGTCGCAAACCCATTATGTTGGTTTTGTCATAATGCGGCTCATTTTCAAATGTCGTTTTCGACTATCTTTAGGGATTCTTCATCTCTCTCTGTTTTGGTACTGGTTGGGACTGTGTTCAGTGAATATAGCTCTCCCTTGTTGGCTTCGTTCTTTGTATTATGTTTGTTACATAACATAAATTTTAAGTATTGTTAGAGAAAACGTCGTTTAAAGCAAAGAAGTGTTGAAATGACTTAACAAGTTAAATTGTTAAAAACACGTGCGCGTGTGTGTGCCGCAAATTTGTGTGTTGGTTGTATAAGACGTTTATTTTGTTTATAGTATGCTGGTGGTATAAAAGAAACACTGCTGATAGAGTTTGCGCATTTTGGACACTTGATAAAGGACAAGCCGAATGAAAGCACACTTAATGCGTTTGATTACCTTGAACTTGACGATGCCGATTTATCCGAGATTGAAGAAACAGCAGGTGAAACTATACAGTCGCTGTCAGTCAAAGCAGAAATGCCAAGCAAACGTCGAGAGAGGCGTATGTGTAATTTGTCTCCATGTTCTTCAGATAAAACAATAAATTACAACTCAAAACATGATTTTGACAACTTATCATTTTACATAAAATATAAAATTTATATACAGATTATACTTAATAACAACAAATAGTTACAAAATCTACCAAAATCGACCGCCTTTCATTTCAATTCGCATTTGTTTCGTTACACAAGTCACACTTAGAACTACTATGAAGCCTTGAACACTTAATCAATAATGTTTCATACATCAGCTCGCCATCTTTTTATAATAAATTACCATTTGTCACATTAAAACATTATCCTTTTCTTAAAATTCCTTACTTTATACAGACCGATTCATAACACATATGTAAGACATTTTGTAAATTCTTATTCCAGAAATGAGGGTCGGCGGTGCAAATATATCACCATTAACTGATACGCTCAAATCTACCGCAGTACAATCTATTAATCAACAAAGCAAACGACAGTCTGACGTGACTGCCACTCCCCAAACCAGCAGTCGACCTATCAGACAGCAAACTTTAACAGTAAAAGGACGACACCCGCTTACAATACAATCATCTCCATTGGACAAAACACAACAATCATTTAATTACTTTCAGAAAAGGCAAGAAAGCTCATTACAACACCAAGAAGACTTTGGCGTCTTAAAAAATATCTCTCCTGCGTTCAAAAACAGATCTCGGGAGAGATCAGATTCTCTTGATTTCGATGACGATTTCATATCAGAGACAGGCGATTTAAAAGGAGAAAACCTCGAGGAAGAACAGCTTAGAGAAAAGCATGAATACTTTGGCGAAGAATTTTATCTTTCGGACCTGAAGGACCATTGCAAAGGTCATCTAAAGGGCACAAAAGAGATACTTCAGCAAAAGAAGAAAGACCTGCATGAACGTCGGGAAGAAGCTAAACGCCAAAAAGAAGAGAGAGGAGGAAATAGTGTGAAAATAAGCATACTCCCAGAACTACCAAAACTTGATAGTGAAGATTTCGAGGCGTTCAGAATGCATAATGAAACAATAAAAATGCCTGATGAATTACCTACACTTGAAGAATTTATAGAATTTTTTAAATCTGATGAGGATTACGACCCTAGATACAAAAACAAAGTCCGACAAAAGAGTAAGAAAATTGCTGAGAGATACTATAAAGAAAGGGAAACGCACAGATCTAACATATCGTTTACTATTGGGAATATTCCAGAAGAAATAAGAAACATTAATACATATCGCCGTTGTACACGCAAACAATCATTTACTCGAGGAAACAAACAGAAAGATAATTCTGAATGTAAAGGCAAGGGGAATACCGGTATCACTCGTACGTTAGCTGTTCAAGAATCTGATCAACAACGTAGGAATATACCTCAACTTCAAGATAAAAAAAGAACGGATTCTATGTCAAATATTTACGAACATGGACAAGAGGTTCTCGGAATCACCGACTCTGAACCTTGCAAAGATCATTATATCAAAGGAAACAGGCACTTAGTAGTGGAGAATATTGAAAAAGACCATTCTACACCTAGAGAAAAGGATAATTCTGAACGTAAAGAACAAACTATTTCTACACCTAGAGAAAATGATAATTCTGAACGGAAAGAAAAAACTATTTCTACACCTAGAGAAAATGATAATTCTGAACGGAAAGAAAAAACTATTTCTACACCTAGAGAAAATGATAATTCTGAACGGAAAGAAAAAACTATTTCTACACCTAGAGCTGAACGTAAAGAAAAAACTATTTCTACACCTAGAGAAAATGATAATTCTGAACGTAAAGAAAAAACTATTTCTACACCTAGAGCTGAACGTAAAGAAAAAACTATTTCTACAACTAGAGAAAAGGATAATTCTGAACGTAAAGAAAAAACTATTTCTACGCTTAGACAAAATGATAATTATACACCATGTTTGAAAAACACAATATTCCCAAAGATACAAATGTGGTCTGATAATGAAACTGACTCGTCCGATACCGGCTCTAATGAGTCATCAAGTAGTGAATCATTGGAAGAAAGTTTTGATACTAAGAAGCTTAACATGAAGTATAGCGTTGAACGTCTCAAAAAGAAACGACGCAGTAAAGTGAAAAAGAAAGGCGGGTTTATTAAAGTCCTCGAAAAGTACTACACCATGCAGAATGCTCTCAATGTCTTCAGCAAAATCTCGCCGGTTAAAAGTGTCAAGAAAGGGCGACTAAAAACACGTCCATTTGGCAAGAAAAAGCAGCAAGGTAAAACTCTCAGTTTTGACTTCTTCGTGAAAAAATCTGTATGTACGAGCTTATATTATATTTGATTTCATATGCACAATAATTTTGCAAATAGTTTCTGTATGTATAGATTTCAACCAAAGAGGATAACTAACCAAATGCGAAATGAAAAGATAATATATATTTTCTCATATTAAAAATAGTCTCAAGTTAATTTTGAATTGTTTTTCAAACAAACAAAAAACTTTAAGATGTTATATGAGAAGAACACAGTTAAACATAATTAAATAGTGCATGTACTAAGTAAAAATATGTGTTATTTGTACATTGAATCTTAAATGTATAAATTGGACGATGGATAACGAATGACAGTTGCTTAGTGCTTTCCCATCCCTCCTGCCAACATTACTTCTACTCTCTCACCATATTACTTCTGCACTCTGATGTATAAATTTAATGGATAAGTTGTACATTTTCAGATAAACAAAAGGAAGGGGAGCAATGTGTTATCGGAAAAATGAAGAAATTCAATTTTTTGAACGTCAGAGACAAAAAGAAAATGAATTTAGAGAATTTAGCTGTTGCAGACTTCTCAACATCAAACATTGAAAAATTTCAACAGCAGTTGAATGAAGCTTTGGATAAATACGTTGTCAGGCGGGAAATTGTTGTCACTGACCAAACCGTATTTCACAAAGCAACAACTTCCGTCACATTTACGAAAATATCGTGCTTCCAACACAAACAAAGATTTATGTCTTAATTACTGTTTTACAAACTTTTCTATTTTTCTTAAGGATGTAAATTTTGTTGCAATTTTTTTAATCGTCTTTCAAAACTTCGTTTTAATAAACTATTTCACTTTTATAGCGAACAAATCATGACCTTTATATGCAGATACTCATTATAATATCACACATATAAATTGGAGAAGTATATGACTTAGAAGTAATTTGTAACTTCAATCCCCTGTCCAAAAGAAAAGCCTGGCCGACAAGCGAGACCCTGGTAAAATACCCGTCCTGTGTTGGGGGTAAAAAAAAAGGGGAGGATTCCTCCGACTACTTTTGATACAATAAAAGACAGTTTGAAGGTATATGGCTCATTTGCGAAAGTACCCCCGTATTTCTAAGGTGGATAGTACATATGTTTTATAAGGTACAATGCCATCGTATTACTTAGAATAAGAGGGCTATTATAGCCCTAGATCGCTCACCTGATATTCATTGCTGGAAAAGGTCATGCCTCTTCATTGTAGTACTTAACCACTGGGTTACATTAATACCGAGTCATTTGACTTTAGGGCCACGATTCATATACATGTACAAAATGTAAAAATAGTAGTGTACATAGTACATAATTTTTAACAACAATTAGTTTTATATTTTATAATTGAAGATGTAAAACAGATATTTTTGTTTTATTTTGGTTGTGAAGGAAGATTTAACTGTGGCAATGATATAGCAGTACATTGCCACTGTGTATCTACATTGAATATTAAGACATATTGTGTATAGGCTTGATTTAAATGGTTGATTTTTGGGCTGAGTTTAGTGCAGTTTGTTTGTACCCTACTAATGTTATCTACACTGGCACACAAATGTATCATGCTGGAAGGCGAACACCCTATACATTCAAATATATCCAACCAACCAATTATTGTTAATATTATTCATTATACTGTCATTTAAGGTAGTGCAGAATAATGACTTTTCACGCACCATGTTCTACCGTGTACTTATTTGGTTATGCATCATGTACAATCTTGTACTTATTGGGACACATACCATGTTCAATCATGTACTTATTGCCACATCATGCTCAATTTTGTACCTTGGGACTCACACACCATGTTTAATCATGTACTTATTGGATTACACATTTAGCATAATCATGTACTTATTCAAATATTTTAGGTCACGCACCTTTCACAGTCAAGTGTTTTTTTGGGTTACAACCTTATACTCCATGATATATGCATTCATTTGGAACATTATTACTCTTTTACTGAATAATGAGAATTATACAGCAATGCTGGGTACATGTATGCTGCACTAAACTTACACTTTTGTATGAACATATTTGGCCTCACTCACATAACAAGTAAATTGCAGTAGTATTGTCACAAATATTCTGGGCATTATTTTTTGAAGTATATTGTTTTTTCATGAAGGAATAAACAAAAATGTCTGTTATATATACATGTAACTTGGTTATAAAGTAAATTGGTTTTTAGCTATAGAATATATTTTACCAGTATCATCATGTTTTTAAATGTCTCTTATAAATCTATCGAGATTGGTCCAACATGTTTTTTAATATGATTGAACATTGTGATGTATTGTATATATGACATGCTTGGAATGAGACAATAAACTATTAAACTTTTTTTTTTTTGTACATGTAAAGTTAGTAGCAAACGAGACCCAAGAGCAGGACCTTTTTTTACACATCCACTTGTTGAGATCCACTAGGCACTATAACTTGATAATGTGAAGCTTCTTCTAATAGTTAAACTGCTTTTATGTTCACCTGTGAATTATCTGCCAATAATCTACACACAATCCTTTCTAAAGATGTACAATGTATCAATCAACTGAGGTCTGTGTTAGTCTCGGTGAATCAAGTCATGTTTTTTTTTCGTTCTCAGTTCAGTTTTTAAATAAAAATGAAGTCTACCACATTTAGCATATAACTTTTATAATTCTCTTCATAACAATAACAAATACATTAAACACAAACAATTTATAAGAAGGAAATCATTCTGCTAATGACCGACTAAAACTGAAGTTAGATCACATGACAATAAAGCACACTTCTTTGATATATCTATACATGTATATGCAATGCACATCAACAACTGTTTGTTTACATAAGCACTTTTAACTTCTCTAAAATGCAATTATCTCAATATAATTGAAAAGTTATTGATAGATGCAATTATTAGTTCATTAATTTTTTTTCACAATTATATTGAAAACATATCCATTTATCTACAGCATAAACAATGTACAACAAGTACAATTGCAAAGTGGTCACCTGTATCTTACTATTTTTTCTTATAAATACATCAAATAAATTAAAAGAAGAAAATAGAAAACAATCTAAGTCAATACAATTTCTAGACTGTATTAAAACAGAATAATTTCATCCTGAATGGCTCATCTGAGATACACTGTTAGAAAACATTTTACAATGATAGTCAGTAATAAGGTTACATTGGGGTTTTTCACTTTGCATATTTTAAAAAATATTTGTAGATGTCAGCAAGTTTCTGATAAACTAAACACTAAACTTTCACCAGATTTTAAATTATAACATTTCATATTTGCTACATAATGTACTTAAGTTATCCTTAATTGTAGTCCAATAAAATTCTGGGTTATTTCTCCAAGGATGAAATGGAAAAACAGACTGATGGACTGACAGACAGACAATAGTATCAAATAAAATTCTATATCTAAACTAGTCAATGAGGTATAAAGAAGATCCTACTGTTCATATATTTGTACAGTTTGCTGTTTAACTCTTTAAGAACATCACAAGTAAAGCACATAGATATCACACGCACCATTTCCATAAAATATTTCAAATGCATAATCTCTACATATATCATATAGCATTCTCAATTATATAATATATGTTCCACTTCTACATATCTAGCACACCCAGTGCTATGTTGTAAGGTTTGTCCTCAGATTCAGCACAAGTTCTGCCTGTTCAAGTGTCAGTTTATAAACTCCTACATCTTGTAGAGCAGTTCGAGCCTCTGTTATCTTGTCAACATCTTTCTTTGCTACATGTAGGGCTGACTTTAATACTTCCTTCAGTAAAATGGCTGAACCCACATTCAAATTCAGAATTGTGCAGGCTTCTTTCACTCTGAAATATTGAGACAAAAACAATTAAAACAAGGTAATAAATACAGAAATACAATGTGTAATGATAAATATAGAAAACATAGTAAAATCTATGTTATCCAGAGCAAAAGTGGGGTAATTTCCTATCTAATTCTGGGGTACAAACAAACTTTTACCATTATAGCTTCACATGCAGCTTTTACAATAGAGTGATCAATAAGTTGCCCTTATCTATATGTATGTATTTGTTGTAACTGTAAAAGTTTGTGTGTACCTTGGGATTAGATGGGAAAACCCAACATTTGCAGAGTTCCAGTTTATCTCTATTCCAAAAATATAGTTTTGAAAAATCAATGCATAGCAACTTGTGAAATATAAATCTAAATGCAAGCCTTATCTTTATTTTGTATAATTTCAAAATTAAAAATTTAAAAAAATGAAAGCAAGAGATATGTAACATGTCAAAATAAGTGACATGAATGTATTGAAGATAATATTGTAATACATGTAACTGTCTTTCCTCGGATAGTTCTTCTAGTCATATCACTGTACATTAAAACACAGCTTTTATTGCTAGTTGATTGATATACATAACACGTCTTAAAATGAAATTAACATTCAGTTTTCACTGGGATCAAGGTCATAACACAAGACTTTTTTTTGAGACTTAACATACATGAGCTAGTTTCATAAAAAGAGAAATGCACTTACTCTTTAAAATAGCTGTCAGGTTTTGGAGTATATTCCCCAAACAAGGGAAACATGTTTCTGTACATGTCAAATTGTAGCTGTGCTGCACCACCTTGATTAAACCTGTTCCTTAAAATCACCTGTAAATAAAGGCAACAAAAAATCTAACATCCACATAAATTTGTAAAAGTTTGAACAATCAAATAGTGCAACAGGTATTTTTGGACACCGGTACTGACCTGTTTTTCTGTTACTTACTGTAACAAAAAATAAATGGTAGAGGATGTATGGCGTAGACACAGTGTGGTCAAAGAAAAAAAGCCATGCTCAGAACTAAAAAAATCTGAAATTTGATGATCATAAACAATGTTCTCCTTGATGACTCCATAATCAATAAAAGAAGGTGATGGCAGCACTTAATTACTTCAAATAATATACATTGTATGTTACATAATTATGTTGATAAGTTTAAGTTGACAGGTTAAAAAGACCATGATGATCTGTGAAAAAAAGACTGAGATACATTTATTTAGACAATTTTAAGTAAAGTACAATTTATACAGATGCTAAAATTCCATTGTGATCTACTAATTGAATTTGGTTCAGGCATGATAGATGACAAAATTGTATTTCATGTACATTCTTATTCTAAACTCACCTCCTCATATATAAAAATGTTAAGTTCTTGTGCCATCTTCTCCCAGAACATATTAAAAAGCGGTTTACTGATAAGCTCCCCAACTTCCAGCAAGTGATCCTTCAACACAAGTAACATCTCACAAGCTGATGTAGACAAACCAAGGTTGACATCCTTCTGATATGGTAGGGATATCCATCTACAACATACATGTATATAACTCTAATACTTGTATCCCTGGCAACATTTACATCTGTTATCATCACCGGTTATAATCCACATGTACAGAGACTTGCTACTCAAACACAAAATGACAACACAAAACAAAGAGGTACAACACTTGCAACACCATCACTATTTCTTTTTCAAGAAATATTTTGCAATACATTGTGTAATATCCAAATGATAAATTTCTATTATTTTAATCAATATTTGAAATATTTACTGAAACGTGCCCATTGTGGACCAATCCAATTTGTTTTAGTTGGGTTTTACATCACACCAACAAAGTATGTCATATGGGAACTTTCTAGGTTCGAGGAAGACTTCAGATTCTTTGCCTTAGTATATCATATAAATAGAATGAGAGTAACCTGTCATCCCTGTATGGTTTACTGCGAGCTTTTACATCAGTAAATACATGATTCACTATAGCCTTCAACATATCTTGTCTTAGTCGGTCATATAATGCTATTATATCTTCAAACACTGTTGTATAACCAAATGGAATATCAGCACTCTCTGCAGACTGAAAATGTCAATATCAAAGAATATTACAGAAAATCATACAAATAAAAAAATTTTATTTTTCAATTCATAATAATTTTTCAAGGGAAACTATGACACTGTTGGAAATATGTTATATAGCACTTTAACAAAATGGTGTCAATTATAACTTGTAATTATCAGATGTTTAAACTTTGTAAAGATAGGTTAAATAAGTAAAAATAAACTTATCATTGGCATGATAAAATGTAGTTTTATCATTGATTACATACATATCAATTATCAAAGAACATTATGCATGTTTTTTAACTCAGTAAAAGTCAACTATGTTAACTTTTTCATTATTTTAAAACGTAATTGTAACATCTTAACATCTAACTACAAGTACATTAAAAAAATTCGTGTTCTAAGCAATGTGAGATCAGGGGTAAGTACCGAATGACTTTACTTGTTCTAGCAAAATTAACTGTGAAAGTAAATATATAAAGTAAAGCCAATTCTTATAAACCTTCCTGTAGCATATTCTGCTTGGAGAGCATTACTTTATAATTTTAAACAGTTAAATTTGCCATTGGTAATAATTTTTAATAATATATCCTATAATTTATATTATTCATACCTCAGAAGTTCCGTGTTCACTGCATTCCATTCTGTAAAATTGCAACTGCAGGAAAAACTGAAAAAGTAATATTATAAATATACATGTTATATTATCATTGACTGCGAAACTGCAGGGAATATTATAAATGAGCCGCGTCAGAACAAAACCAACATAGTGTGTTTGCGACCAGCATGGATCCAGACCAGCCTGCGCATCCGCACAGTCTGATCAGGATCCATGCTGTTCGCTATCAGTTTCTCTACTTGTAATAGGGTTGGTAAGCAAACAGCATGAATCCTGATCAGACTGCACGGATGCGCAGGCTGGTCTGGATACATGCTGGTCGCAAACCCATTATGTTGGTTTTGTCATGACCGGCTCAAATATATTACTGGAAAAGAATATCATACATGTCAGATATTGTTTCTCTCAAACAGGTTAATAGTACAGTCTCTGGGGATTTTGTGTGCAAAAAAGGTCTATGGATAAACCACAAAAAGATATTGAATTTTAAATCTCCTTTCATTCAATACAGTTAAATATAAAACATTATATAAAGGAAGTGGATCTACAGCTCCTTTTTTTTTTAGCAATATCATGCAAAGATTTGGACCAATACTTTGTGTATGCAATAGTTATTCTCAATCTCTTTGATCTGTAGCTGTGGCTTGCTAATACATAGCCTAACATTTTATTATTCTTATATTGAATTCCTTTAAACTAACAACTAACAGAAGTCAGTTCCAAAATGAGAGCTACATGTAGATGTCCATACAGCAAGATTATAAACTAACTATAGACAACATGAATAATTATTAAAATCTATGAATATTTCCATACACTCTAGCAACACATGTTAAGTATTAGAAGTTACTGACCACGAGTTCACTCCATTCTCGTAGGACTTCTGTTACATAATGTGCTGTATTTAAAATGGAACAGAAACAGTCACTGAAAGGATTGTGGGTATTGTCCTTGACCTGTATAATTCTCACCCGGAAGTCCTCTAAAAGTTCAAGTTGAAGGTCAAGAAAACTGAGTTTTTGTGAAGAATGTGGCAATGGCTTATATCTATCTGTAAATAAATAAACAAGGTTGACTTTTTAGGCATGCTAAATCACATGATCTCAGGATGGCCCCTTCAGATGTTATGGTTGATAAAATACAAATGTATCAATCAAACTCAATTCTCCTGAAGGTAAATCTTGTTTAATTTGCCAAGCAATTATTTAGTTGAGTTTATTTTAGTGAGATTTTTTGTGGATTATAATATCTATAATGCCTTAATGGTAACAAGATAACAAGAGCTGTTCGTAAGAAAGCACCCTCAACTATATCTTAATGTGTGAGAGTAAAGCAGCATAACTCTGTAAAAAGTTAACTCAAGAGTTATGGGACCTGTGCCCAATTTATCAGATAATCACAGAGAACAAGTGTGTGAAGTTTCAACCCTTTCAGTACTTTTGTAAATCCAACTTGCACACAAAAACTTAATGAAAGTATCACGGCAAAGCCAACACTGTCACTGGGGTGAGTACAATAGCTCTCAAGCTATTACTCATAACAAAGGAGTCTATAATTAACAGATGTTTGTTAAGTTCCAATAAAGCTTAAACAGCTTGCACCAAATCAGTGTTAAACCTACCAAAATTCTCAGATGATGTTAAATAAGGGAATTGCATATTATAACTACAATGTATTATCATTAACAATATGACTGTTGGAATACAAAAATCATATTATTCCTGTTTGTGATATTTTGACATTGTTGTGTTACAACAGCTTTACACCCATCAAGGTTACTTTTAAGCCTATCTTTTATCCATCACTACATCCATTAAAACCAGTATAGAACACATTTGTAAGTATTATACCTGTAATAGTGAGCATTAAAGTCATGAAACTTTCACCACACTCGGGCACTTTCAGCTCGTCTACGTCAGCTATATGTCTATACTGGGAATCCCACGCTGTTGGTGATGACATCATGCCATCCAACTTCTCTATGGCAACTGTAAAAATATATATATATACTGTATAACTTATTGGTGTATAAATTTAGTTCTTTAATTAAGAACTGTTTCATGATTCTTGCATGTTCTGGGAAAAAAGTTATGTTGAAGTTTACTGTCAGTTATAATGTAAAAGAAACTGAATACATTAATCAAAATGGCATTTTAAAGTATTGAACACTTCACTCAATCAACTACAATCAAATATAACAATACATGTAAATGCTAATGAGATTAAGCTCATTTTTCATTGTGAAGTTGAGATAAATTGACTCTATATTTCAAAAGATTGAAGGGCATGTCACTTCAAAATGTTTTTAAAACAATGTCATACCAAAAACAATTCTCTTTCCTGTCATTAATGTTGTATAACACACAAGTACTTACATTTTTTCTCAATCTGAAGCCACTTATGAAAATATTTATCAAGTGAGAGTACGTGTAGACTACCAGGATATGTTGCCGGGTACCGGTATGAGCTACGTATCTCTTTATCAAATAACAGAGCTTCGTCCACCAAGTGACAGAACTGGTGGTCATCGTTCATTAACTCTGGAAGGTCTGTCAACATTTTCTCCATTGCCAATGTTATCATTCCAATCATAAACTCCAACTGGAAATATACAATGTATGTCATATAATGTCATTATAATAAAACCCATTCACTTTAAAGCATACCAATACATTACCTCTTGTTACATCTACAGTATCTGTTGAATTTACCAAGTAATTGTCATCTACACACTAGTTACAAATTTAACCGTGTTTTCAACTGATTATGAGTGTTGTGTGACAGATTAGGAGTTTGTGGCCTGGGGCTGTAACAGTCATTATCATACTAGTAATTGATCTACTGAATATTTATGAAGCAACTGCAAAAACGTCATGTGATGTCATCAAAAGCCATCTGAGGCTTAAAGTGTGATTTTAGTAAGGAAAGCTTGATTCAATGAATTGAAATTTAATTTAAACTTATGTAAACACATAGTTTTACTTGAATGCACTAGAAAAACTCCAGTTTTACTCAAAGAAAAAGAAACTTTTGACTTGTTTCTACAATAAATAGAAGCAACTCTTGTTCCTGGGCTTCAACTGGGCTCTCTACAACAGTATTTTATTTAATAGTTATTGAAAATACTGTTTTACATCTATGTAGATAAGGTTAAATTAAGCCAAATTCTCTTTTCATAATATTAAAATATGGTAATTTATCTTAAAGGGCAGACCAGATATATTGTGGTGTTATATGTTCATGTTTGTCTTTTGTCCTTTTATTATGGGTGATTAAACTGGTTTTTCAAGCTTGATTTTGGTATGCAAGTTATTTTCAGCTGATTTGGTTCCAGGATAGCTAACATTTCTTGGTAACTGACCACTCCTTTCGTCGCTTTCTAAGTGAAGACATATATTTCTTTAGAAATTCAGTAGTTTCTTTAAGAAACACTTGCTATTCATTTCAATCATGTGTTGGCTATCCAGCTAGCTTACGGAACATCAGTGGTTCTACTCAGGTGCCCGTTCATGTCTGAAATAATCCATGGAAGGGCACCTGAGGTAATACATTAGATTTCTTCTTACAAAACCTGGTAGTATTTATTTTTTTATTTGTGAAATTGTTCTTATTGTAATTTGAATTGTTGTGTAAATACTGTATGTTGCATTATGTATTTTGTGAAATATATCTGTCTTGTAAAATATTTGTTTTGTAATGTGACGTCTTATTGTTATTTTATTTTATTACAGGTTTTATTCTATATAGAATAAATATAATTTTTATATAAACATCACTGAGTGTTCATTAGAAATAAACCCCACCACTACATCTATAAACATTAAGGACATTAATATACATTAATATTATGATGGGCCAGACAGGATTATCAGCCCTGAATAAATAATGTCCCTTTGAGCAATAGTCTTCATGTAGCAGGCCAATTTTCTTCCACTTTCTGGCCCTACTTTACTATGAATTAATTTCTTAGTTGTTTTAAGTGTAACTCAAAAATTGATGTGATTAACAAAATGTTATATTCGTGAAGCTTTGTGAAGTTTTCCGAAATTTATACAAGTGACATGGATAAGAAGTGATGTAACTGCAGTACATGGAAATCAAACAAACTATATTACTTATATCCCTAGTTAAATGCTTGAATGCGTCAAATTGTAACTTCTTAGTTTTAGTATTATGTGCCTGGGTCCATAAATATCATGATACAAATTAGCCCACAAAAATGTAGAGAAACTATTTCTAAGCACTGTATGACTCTATAATTACATCTAAATTTTCTAAAAACCTTCTACATGTAACAGTAATCCCCCCCCCCCCCCCCCCCAAAAAAAAAGCAAAGTGGGGTTAGTCTCATAATCGTGTAAAAGAGAATGCAAATTCCTAATTGAGAAGTTTTAAGACAAATTAAATGTGAAAAATTACAAAGGGCAATAACTCTAAATAAAACAAAATAGTTATAGTGCTTCTCATTAATTTACAGTTGCAAACATTTAAATTAAAATCTTCAATACTAATGAGTTATTCCCTAGGCTTAAATTTGAAAGAATAGTCATGGCAATAACTAATAATACACTACCCTTTGCCAATATAAGATCAATCTATAAAGTTTAAGACCTACTAGACTTTGAGTTATGCCCAATAGGAAAATTGCAGCAAAGACCAATAGATAAAATATTTTGCAAAAAAGAGTTACACAGCACAAAACTTCCTCTCAATGAGATGTTACCAAATATTTGTTGGGGGATAATAAGGAATAGGTACAAGAGAATGCAACTTGATTTCTGGCCATGTAAGTTCAAACCCTGACAGTGGCAAGCTCTTGTTTCCTTCAACAAATAATGGGGTTATCTCTATATCTCTATAGATGTTTCCAAGATTCATCTTAGAAAAGTTATTTTTCTTTTATCACCATCAACTTTTTTTAATTTCTGCCCTACGGCTTCCAGTAAACTGAGTAACTGTTTCATTGTTGTATTTACTGGTATAGAACTAGGATTTATTTAAAATAACACAAAAAAGCATATTAAGAAAGTATTATGTTGTCTTTTATTTTCAAAACAAAAACAATCAAATCAAATATATAATATATGCATAATGCAGAAACAACTATTACATTTATATTACATTGTCATATATTGTTCTGTTATAGTCATATATGATAGTGATCATCACAAATACTGTTCAGAAATCAATGAGAGTTCATGTGAAGTTTCAGCTGAATTTTCTGTGGGAAACCTCTGGTACATCCTGGTACCTTACATTTGAATGGGTTATCACCGGTGTGTAATCTCTCATGCACTGCTCTAGCATATTTACTGTTGAATGACTTTGGGCAGAAGTTACAGTGGAAACTTTGATGATCTCTATGGTATCGTTGATGCTGTGTGAGTGACGATCTTTTAGAAAACTTCCTGTCACAGATCTTACATGTAAAAGGTGTCTTACCAGTATGTATGTTCATATGATCCTGTAAACGACTGTTGCTAGCAAACTCATGTTGACAGACGTCACAGAAATGTCCATCATGAAGACGTTGATGTTTTGTGAAGAAACAATGAGCTACAACCTTATCACACAGTCCACACTGAATTCTCTCATCATCAAGCTTCACATGCTTTGTAACATATCCAAACTTACAGAATAACACTTTCTTCAGGTTACTTCTAATTCCTTGCATCTGATGGAGATACTGATGCCCCTGAGCATCCTTAAAGTCCGTACATAGAGCATTACACACATGACACCAGAAAGATATATTATTACAAGCTACAAATCCTGGCACAGAGTCACAATGATATACCTGGTTCTCACTATATGCACTATAAACAACAGCAGGTGCTGACTGAATCTCACTAGAACTGTTGTCATGGCTACCTAACAATGCTGCGATGGAGAACGGGTGAGGTACCACTTGAGGTGCTGGAGAAGAGACTTCATGTTTAATGTAGATACTCTCATCAGAACACATTGAGGCGGCACTGCTTTCAGAACTATCTGAGTCACAAGATCCCTGTGTAGATACAGTGTGGTGAGGCGACCATGAATAACCTACATCAGTGGCAGGACGGAGATCTTCCTGGACAACTAGACGATCACAGGTATGACGTGTAAACTTGTTCCATGTTAAATCTACAGGTGTGTGAGAACCAGTCTGTTTGGCTCTGGCTGCATTCAACAAGATGTGTGACATTAACGCATCCATAGTCTGCAATAAAATATACAATAATCTTTTAGAAAGAACCAGTATCAGGGCTTTCAAATATTACTATTATATTGTTACCATTACTACAATATCAGAATGAATAAAAATAAATTAATCAACTGCCCCCATTTACTTCTGTTGTTTATATTCCTGTATTTTCAAGTGTTGTTTTTTTCAACAATATACAACATTATATTCCTTTTTTTATTAAATTTCCATTCTATACTGCGTATTTAGCCATTTGTCCCTTCTTCTTCTGAATCTGTAATCTATCAAATGTCTTCCAACGTAATGTTGTGCATCGTTCAAGTATAATGTGAAGTTCTATTTTATATTGATAACAATTATTCAGATATTTTTACAGAGTATTAGGAACATTATGATTTAATTGAAAACAACTACATGATTTTGATATACCCAGATAATCCAAATCTTTCTTATCTAAAAATTAAAAATCATATTTGTCAGTTACTTAAATTATTTAATCAGATTTTTGTGGTTTTCTCATGGAAGTTTTTAATTAAGAATAAATTGGTTTTTCAGAATTTGCATAATTAATTGTAATAATGTTCTTACCTTTAGTCAGTAGTTATAACAATCCACAGAATCTAAATCACTTCTATAATTGTAATATAATAGTTGTAGTTGATTAGAACACAATTTGATAATTGGTGATGTACAAACATTTCCTGGTCCTTATATACACCACCACCTTGCAGGTAAGATGAAGGTTCAAAGCCGACACATGTTACAAACAAGATGGACATCACCTCACAGCTTTACCAGTACATCACAGCACTGGCTACCATCACATTAACTATAATTACACCTAATTAGCATGTTTGTTGTAAAGTTTGTATATAATCAAACATGATTGGATTAAAACTTGATCACAGCTGATTATTGTTGATTGAATGATAAAGAAATGTGATATATTGTGTGTGCCTTTGATCAGCTTTTCTAATCAAAGGTGTGAACAAACAACTATATCAATAATAATAATTATTACACAAGGAAACCTAAATAGAACATTGTATTAAATTTTCTGAATATGATGTCCATATTTTTTTTTTCATTTTTGTAAAAGATAAATTTAGCTAAATACAATGAAATAATTATTGTGATGTTGTATATTTCAGCATGTAAATATGAAAAAAAAAATTAATCTTATATTAAATAATAATAAACAAAAATACATGGACATTATTAAGTGTTTATCAAATATGGTAAGCTCTACAAACAAGATATCTCAAATTTCATCTAGAGTCAAGAAGACAATCATTTTCTATAAAACTGACCACAAATTTAAACATATTGGGAAATTGTATAATTCCCATTTTAAATATTTTTATTTCAACTTATTACAATTAAAAAAGAAAGGAATTTTCACTCCTTTTTGTTTTTCCTGCAATAACTTTGTTCAAAATTAATCATGATAGAT